AAGCAGTGGTATCAACGCAGAGTACTATATGGAAATTTTATCCGACGTACGTACACCGATTAGTGTGTTGAAAGCGTTAAAACAAGTGAGCAGTCATACGTACTTGCTTGAAAGTGCGGATAATAGTAATCATTGGGGCCGTTACTCCTTCTTGGGCTATGATCCTAAGATTGAGCTATTCTGTAAAAATCATAAGATGACTATCAAAGACGGTACGACACGTACCTTTGAGTGCTCTGATCCAGCAGCAGAAATTCGCAATATTTTGAGCCAATATAAAAGCCCTCGCTTAGAAGAGTTACCAACCTTCACAGGTGGCTTTGTAGGCTACTTCGCATGTGAATACATTCGCTACATCGAGCCAACATTGGATTTCCCAACACCAGATGATGACTCTGCGATGGTAAACGATGTAGACCTTATGCTCTTTGATAAAGTTATCGCTTTTGACCATTACAAGAATAAAATTTACTTGATTGCCAATATTAGCACAAATGACTTGGAGCGCAACTACAACAAGGCTGAGCTCGAATTGAAAGCTCTAGCTGATCTCGTAGTAAATGGCAAAGAGGCGGATGTGCCAAAAGGCGTTCTTAAAACAGAGTTTACCTCTGAGTTTACAAAGGACGAGTTTGAAGCAGTTGTTAAAAAAACGCAGCATTACATCAAGGAAGGGGATATCTTTCAATGCGTTGTATCTAACCGCCGCGAAGCCGAGTTTGAAGGAAGCTTGTTAAATGCATACCGCATGTTGCGTACCTTAAATCCATCTCCATACATGTTTTACCTATCTGGTGGTGATGTAGAGCTTACAGGTGCATCTCCAGAAACATTGGTGAAAATGACAGATGGTAAAATGTATACCTTCCCAATTGCAGGTACGATGCGTCGCGGTAAAAATGAAGCAGAGGACCTCGCCATTGAGGAAAAACTCATTAACGATGAAAAAGAATTGGCTGAACATAACATGCTCGTTGACCTGGGGCGCAATGATTTAGGTAAAATTTCTAAATTTGGTTCCGTAAAAGTTGAAGCGTTACATATGTTGCAACGTTTCTCCTATGTAATTCATATTACATCTACTGTAAGCGGTGACATTCAAGACGGCAAAGATGCACTCGATGCTATCGGTGCTACATTGCCGGCAGGCACATTGTCTGGGGCGCCTAAGATTCGTGCTATCGAAATTTTACACGAACTTGAAAAAAGCCCACGCGGCGTATACGGCGGTGCCGTAGGTTACATCGACTTCTCTGGTAACATGGACGTATGTATCGGTATCCGCATGGCTATGAATAAAGGTGGCAAGGTATATGTTCGTGCTGGCGCAGGCATCGTTCGAGATAGCGTTCCTGAAAGCGAGTTTAATGAAACCTTGATAAAAGGCCAATCCATGATTTCCGCAATTACAAATGCACAGGAGGTAGAATAATGGTACTCCTTATAGATAATTACGATAGCTTCTCCTTTAATTTATACCAATTAGTAGGCTCTATCGATCCAGATATTAAAGTCATCCGCAGTGATGAATTAACAGTTGAAGAAATCCGTGCTTTAAAGCCAGACTATGTGATACTTTCACCAGGACCTGGCAGACCAGCTGATGCGGGCGTGTACGAAGAACTATTGCGCAAATGCAAAGGGGAATTTCCAATCCTCGGCGTATGCCTTGGACACCAAGCCATCGGCGAAGTATTCGGTGGCACCGTATCCTATGCAAAACAAGTTATGCACGGCAAACAAAGCGTGGCAAAACAAGTACACCCATCCAAAATCCTTAAGGGCTTGCCTGAAACAATTCGAAGTCGCACGATACCACTCTTTGGCGATTATCGACGAAACTATGCCAAGCGAACTCATCGTTACATCCGTTACCGATGACGGCGAAGTAATGAGCGTAGAACACAAAGACTACCCGATTTATGGAGTCCAATTCCATCCGGAATCCATCATGACACCAAACGGGGAACAAATGATTCGCAATTTCTTAGAAAAATAACCACTGTTTTGTATTCGAGGGGCTATTATTAGTTACTAGTACGGTAAGGCAGAAATAAGGTCTCTCGGAACTCCAAGTGGCCACCACCCCACTACGTGGGGCCGCCAAGTCGTTCCTTAAGAACTTATTTCCTGCCAACTCAACCTTGGCTTTACCTACTTAATAGCCCCTCTATAATACATATATCGAACTGTAGTTATATTTTTCTAAAGAAATCTGCGAATCAGAACCCCTAATATAGGAAAAGGTGGTGCAAAGCACCACCATTCCCACCACCCTATAAAGAAATGACCTGTGCGTTACTCCATATAATGCGCAGGATCATTTGATAATAGTTTGTATGAGGGATGTCTATTAAATTGGTATGATTTTTTAGCCGGAGAGGTGCGATTGGGTTATGTGCGAAGCCGACTTGGCGCCCCGCATAGCGGGGGGTGGCCACTTGGAGGCTGAGGGCATGACCCAATCGTTACCGACTAGGTAGATATGGTATCAATTTAATAGATATCCTCAAAAGGAGATATAAATGATTAAAGACGCATTATATGCAGTAACGCACGGTCAGGATTTATCCTACGACCTTGCTAAAGATACAATGAACAAGATTATGAGCGGTGATGTACCCGAGGTTCCTATGGCTGGTTTCTTGTGTGCTCTTGCAGCGAAGGGCCTTACTGTAGATGAGGTTACGGCGTTTGCTGAGGTTATGCGCGAAAAGGCCGGTTCTGTTCCTCACGAAGGCACTGTTGTAGAAATTGTAGGTACTGGCGGTGATGAAGCTAATACGTTTAACATTTCTACCACATCTGGTTTCATTATTTCCGCAGCAGGTATTCCTGTAGCAAAACATGGTAACCGTAGTGTATCTAGTAAATGTGGCGCTGCAGATTTGATTGAAGCGTTGGGGGCTAAATTAGAGCTTAACGGCGAGCAAAACGAAGCGGTTCTTAACAAAGCGAATATGTGCTTCATGTTTGCTCCTGTGTATCACCAAGCTATGAAATATGCAGGTCCTGTACGTAAGGCTTTGGGCGTGCGCACTGTGTTTAATATTCTTGGACCTTTGGCAAATCCAGCAGGCGCAACTGTGGAGTTGATGGGTGTTTACGACAAAACTTTAGTAGAACCATTGGCCCGCGTATTGGCTAACCTTGGCGTGAAACGCGGTGCTGTGGTACATGGCTTCGACGGCCTTGATGAGATTACAGCTATCAACAAAACGTACGTATGCGAAATTAATAATGGTACTTTCACAAGTTACAAATTCGATCCTAAGGACTATGGTTTCGAATACGCTGATAAAACTGAGCTTGAAGGTGGCGACGCAACAGTAAATGCTGAGATTACACGCCGCGTTCTCGGTGGTGAGCAAGGCGGTAAACGTACCGCAGTTCTTCTCAATGCTGGCATGGCGATTTACCTTGCAAAAGATGGTATTACATTAGCAGAGGGCATTGAAGAGGCGAAACATATGATCGACTCTGGCAAGGCGCTTGCTACAATGGAACAGTTTGTGAAAGCAACTCAAGAGGTGTAACCATTGATTTTAGATAAGATTATAGAGGCTACCAAAATTCGGGTAGCCCGAGAAAAACAGGTGGAATCTCCAGAGTCTGTGAAAGCAGCGGCTTTAGCATTACCATCTGATACAGGATTTCCTTTTGAAGCAGCCCTTCGTCAGCAAGATTTCAATTTCATTTGTGAAGTGAAAAAGGCGTCTCCCTCCAAAGGCATCATCGCTGAGCACTTCCCGTATTTAGAGATCGCGAAAGAATATGAAGTGGCTGGTGCTGCGGCTATCTCTGTTTTGACGGAGCCAGATTTCTTTAAGGGTGATAAAAAATATTTGCAAGAAATTGCAAGCACCGTAAAAATTCCTGTGCTTCGTAAGGACTTTATCATCGATGAATACCAAATCTACCAAGCAAAGGTATGGGGCGCTAGTGCAATCCTATTAATCTGTGCATGCCTCGATGTGCCTACGCTGACAAAGTTCCGTGAGTTAGCTGATTCTCTTGGCTTATCCTCTTTGGTAGAGGCGCATGATGAACATGAGGTACAAATGGCTATCGATTGCGGTGCCCGCATTATTGGCGTTAACAATCGTAACCTCAAGGACTTCACTGTAGATGTACAAAATAGTGTGCGCTTGCGCAATCTCGTGCAAGACGATGTGATCTTCGTATCTGAAAGCGGGCTAGAAACGCCGGAGGATATCCAAGTATTGCGGGATAACAATATCGGCGTAGCCTTGATGGGGGAAACCTTCATGCGCTCTCCCAATAAGGTTGAAAAGTTAGCCTATCTTTATGGACCCACATATTATACGCCTAAGATTAAGATGTGCGGTATTTCTAAAGTGGAAACTATCCTTGCTATAGTCGATGCAAAGCCTGATTATATGGGCCTTGTATTTGCACCAAGTAAACGACAAGTCACTGTAGATCAAGCTAAGATTTTAGTAAGTGAGCTACACAAACAATATGCAAATCGATATAACAGAGATGTCATACAATGGAGTAATGATGTAGTACAAGCTGGAACTATAACTGATGTAGTACAAGCTGGAACTATAACTGATGTAGTACAAGATGGAACAATAATTAACGCATTGCAAGAAGAAACAGCAACTGGTGATGCGCATGAAGGGACACTGACTAGTACAGAAAATATAAGTCCGACACTTATACATCAAGAATTTATTAAAACGGTAGGCGTTTTTGTCAATGAAACGCTAGATAATCTCGTTACGATTGCCACAGAAGTAAATCTTGATGCGGTGCAATTGCACGGTGATGAAGAGGAAGCTTTCATCCAATCCTTAAAAGAACGTACTAATGTAGAGGTTTGGAAGGCTGTTCAAATCCGCAGTGCTGCAGATGCAGAAAAATGGATTGATAGCAGTGCTGATATGCTCTTGTTTGATGCATATCACAAAGACGAGCGAGGCGGTACGGGTGAAGTATTCGACTGGTCTTACTTAGATGAGTTTGAACGACCGTTTTATGCTCGCTGGTGGTATAGATAGCACCAATGTGGCGCGTGCCATTCGTACGGTTCGACCATACGGCATCGATATCAGTAGCGGCATTGAAACAGAAGGCGTGAAGGACGATGAGAAGATAAAAGCTTTCACCAACATTGTGAGAACAATAGCAATGCCATAGTATGGCGTGCTAGCAGGAATGGTATATAGAAAGGTAAGTTATATGAGTGAACAAAGACATGGCTATTTTGGCTCCTTTGGGGGCCAATTTATGCCAGAAACATTGATGAATGCAGTTATCGAATTGGAAGAGGCGTACAATAAGTACAAAGATGATCCTGATTTCGTACATGAACTTGAGGATTTACATAAAAAATATACAGGTCGCCCATCTCTTTTATACTATGCGGATCGTATGACAAAGGACCTTGGGGGAGCCAAAATCTATTTAAAACGTGAGGACTTAAACCATACTGGTTCTCATAAGTTGAATAATGTAATCGGCCAAATGTTATTGGCAAAACGGATGGGTAAAACTCGTGTTATTGCTGAAACCGGGGCAGGTCAACACGGTGTGGCAACGGCTACTATCGCTGCGCTGATGGGCATGGAATGCGAAGTATACATGGGTGCAGAGGACTGTGAACGTCAAGCACTTAACGTATATCGTATGGAATTGCTAGGTGCTAAGGTGCATCCTGTAACAACAGGGACTAGCACATTGAAAGATGCGGTTTCCGAAGCGTTGCGCGAATGGACAAACCGCATGTCCGATACGCACTATGTATTGGGCTCCGTTATGGGTGCCCATCCATTCCCTATGATCGTTCGTGATTTCCAATCTATTATCAGCCTCGAAGCGCGTGAGCAAATCCTTGAAGCAGAAGGCAAATTACCAACAGCTGTTATGGCTTGCGTAGGTGGCGGCTCCAATGCGATGGGCATGTTCTATCACTTTATTCCAGATGAAGGGGTTCGTCTCATCGGTTGTGAAGCAGCAGGTCGCGGCATCGATACAGAGGAACATGCAGCAACAATCGCAAAAGGTTCTGTTGGTATCTTCCATGGCATGAAATCCTACTTCTGCCAAGATGAAGACGGTCAAATTGCTCCAGTATATTCTATTTCTGCAGGTCTCGATTATCCTGGCATCGGCCCTGAACATGCGTACTTGCACGATAGCGGTCGTGCTGAATATGTGCCTGTTACAGATGACGAAGCAGTAGATGCCTTTGAATATTTATCTCGCTTGGAAGGTATTATTCCAGCCATTGAAAGTGCTCATGCGGTGGCACATGCACGTAAAATCGCTCCTACTATGAGCAAGGACGATATCATTATTATTTGTTTATCCGGTCGTGGCGACAAAGACGTAGCGGCTATGGCGAAATACAGAGGGGTGAATCTTCATGAGTAAAATTAAAGACGCTTTCATAAAGGGCAAGGCATTCATCCCGTTCATTAGTGCTGGTGATCACGGTATTGAAAATACAGAACGTTATATTCGCATTATGGTGAAAGCCGGTGCAGACATGGTGGAAATCGGTATTCCTTTCTCCGATCCAACAGCGGAAGGCCCAGTGATCCAAGAAGCAAGTACACGCGCATTATCTACAGGCGTAAAAATCAATGATATCTTCGATATGGTGCGTCGTCTGCGTACAGGTGATGATGCGGTGACTATACCGCTCGTATTCATGACCTATTTGAATCCTATTTACGTATTTGGTCGTGAAAAATTCTTTACCCTCTGTGAAAAGGTGGGAATCTCTGGTGTTATCGTACCAGACATGCCGTTTGAAGAAAAAGGCGAGCTCGCTAATGTGGCTCATAAACATGGTGTTGAAGTTGTATCCTTAATTGCGCCAACATCTGAAAACCGCATCGAAATGATCGCCAAAGACGCAGAAGGCTTTGTATACTGTGTATCCTCACTTGGCGTTACAGGCATGCGCAGTGAAATTAAGACGGATATTAAGTCCATTGTTGAAATGATTCGCAAATATACGGATATCCCGGTAGCTGTTGGTTTTGGTATCTCTAAGCCAGAACAAGCGGAAGCTATGGCGCACGTATCCGACGGTGCTATCGTAGGCTCTGCCATCGTTAAAATCGTGGCAGAACACGGTGAACATGCGGATCAAGCGTTGTTTGATTACGTACAATCCATGAAACAGGCTGTTCTAAAGGCTAGTGTATAATAAATGACTTCATTTAAATACCGGTTTTAGTAAGTCATTTAGATTTTTTAGAATATTTTGACATAGAAAAACTGCACCCCAAAAATTGAATTCAATTTTTGGGGTGCAGTTCATTTGGTATTTAATGTTGTTCATGTGCATATTGGTTATGATGAGCATGCACTTTTTATATGTGTTCTCTTTTGGTGGTTTTAGCACAGGAGCGAGGCTTAGTCATTAGAGGATTCAGAACGTTGATGTCGTTCGCTGCGTTTTGCTGTTGCATTTTTATCATGCTTTTCACGTTCAGATATTCTATGCTTTCTGTGCTTTTTCTTTTTATCATTTACTTTGTACCATGGATGATCGCTGCTATCTACTGTGCCATCATCATTTTTTACCATGCGATGGTTTTCACCGATTTTGAAGTGATAATCTTTGGCTTGGGCTACATTGGCACCAATACCAACTGTTAAGAAGGCCCCTAAACTGGCCAAGGCTACTGCTTTAATTAATTTAGCTTTCATAATTATCTCCTGCATAATTAATTGTACAAATTTTAGTTGTAAGAAATATATCTGTAGTATAGGTAAATTTTATGAATAAAAAATGAATCAAATAAGTTGATAAATCATAGTATAATAGGAATATCTATATATGTTTATTATCTAATATTATCTAAGATTATAGTAGGAGCTTTATGAAACAGAGAGTATACGAAATCCTCTATCGTGAGCTAGTGGAAAACTATGCGAACAGTAAGGGACGTACCAATACAGCCGATTTTTGGCTCACCATAAGTGCCATATTCTTTGTATATGGCTTAATTATATGTATTACAGGTCTTGCAACCTACATACCGTACGGATTTCTTTATGCTGTCTCTATTGGTGGCGGTGTATTATTTGTATTGTCCATCCTGTTATGCTTGCCGAAGATTATGCTAATGGCAAGACGGTTACGAGACTCTAATAATGATCCAACGTTGATGATTTTGCTTTTGGTTCCTATTTTAGGCTGGCTTGCATTATTGTATCTATTCTGTAAGCGCACATCGCCTGTATCTAATGGATTAGAGGAAAAACGTTCCGTATCGGGCCTCTTTATTGTGGCTATATTAGTATTAGGCTGCCTAGCTATTAGTGCAGGTAGTACAATGATTAATCATAATTTTATAGTAGAGGAGACTGCTTATGGCAATTTAGAACCTAGTTCGTTAACGAAACAAGCAAATCGTCTTTTACAAAGTGAAACGGCTACAACAGAGGGGCGTACTGTGGTAAGTAATTATTATGAAGCCCTCAATAAAAAGGATTATCATGGTGCATATCGTTATTTGAGCGCTCGTGCTATGGAACGATATGGTACCTTTGAACTATGGGAACAAGCCATGACTAAGGAAGAGGTTCCTAAGGTGAAAGCGATACAGCTTGACTATGTTTCTCAAGACCAAGATGATGATATTGTTGTAAACTATATGGGCTTTACCGTTACTTTTAAAGATAAATCAGAGCCTCTATTAGTTCGTTTGCATAATGAAGGCAAAGGCTGGGACATTGTTGCTATTGAAGCCGTGGAGGAGGATTAGGTTATGTCAACCATAAATATATATGATTTGAACTATACTGATGCCTTCAAATTAGGCATTAGAAATTATGCCAATTTTAACGGCCGTGTTAGCCGTAGTGAATATTGGCGATTCGTGGCAGGCGTTACATTAATACAAGGATTACTTGGAATTTTAGCTTTACTTTCTAGTGCCTTGGGCTTCCCTAATTATGAAGCGCTTATCGATAATGTTACTGTAGGGGTATCCCTTTTCTTTATAGTTCCCAATATAGCTATCACAGTGCGGCGTATGCATGATATTGACCGGAGTGGTTGGACGCAGCTAATCTCATTTATTCCTGTTATAGGATTCTTTATATTTCTCATTTACGAATTGCGTCGTGGCGATCAAAGAGAGAATTCATATGGTGAAAGAACCGGATATACACTTATTACTCCTGAGGTTAGCAAGGCTACAGGACTAGAAGAAACTCCATCCCGTCGCCAAGATTGGGCGATGGGGATTGCTATCTTTATTATCCAATCTATTATTATTGCTGATATCATTAGAGAGATATTATGGTATGGTATTAATGGGAATGGATATATGTAATAAAGATCTGCATTTATTAACAATCTCATTATTTTATTTTATAAAAGTTTAACATCTCCTTTATAGACAATATAACACTTTGTAGTAAAATGAATTTCAGATGAATTCAAAAATATAGATATTAATAAATAAAAAATATCTAAGTTGTTATATGTGTTAAGTACAGCAGGACTTCGTAATCTTTGCTGATTCCTGTTTGTAACTAGAAGGAGTTTATTATGAAATCTTGTCCCTATTGTGGACATGAAGTGTTGAAAACAGATTGTTACTGCCCAGAATGTGGGCATGTTAGTAGGCCACAAATCTCGTTAGATAAATATAATCTAGGCTTGATTGAAAACTTTAAACAATGTTTGGTTTATAAATATGCTGATTTTGATGGTCGTGCAAGTCGTAGTGAATATTGGCATTTCTTGTTAGTCTATCAATTGTTGTTTGTGGCCATTCTGTTTACCTGTGCTTTTTTGAGCTATATTAGCCCACTATCTAGTGTAGTAGGCGTAGGTTTTGGCTTGGTCATTCTTGTTCTTTTGTCCGTGATTATGGTTATTCCTGGCGTGGCTGTTTCAGTGCGACGTCTACACGATCAAGGCCGCTCAGGGGGCCTCGTATTTATTGGATTCATCCCGGTGGTAGGGACCATTATCCTGTTGATCCTTATGGCTCTACCTGGTGAAAGCCTATCAAATCGCTTTGGTCCC